TCTTTCCCTGCTTACTTTAAGGCAAAGTAGATCTATAATTCCTGACACTGACTGAAAGTGGCTGGGAACAAAACATAAATTCTTGTTGACTTAATTTATTATTGAAATTTTAGTCAATAATCATGAAAAGTAAATGATTGTGTAGTGCAATATTATACGTTCAACAAAAGATTAAAATTCAGGTTATCTTCATTGACTAAGCTAGGACAGTACTTGAAATAAAAATCTATGAGTAGATTAACATGTTAATCTGATTAACAGTCAGTAGGGTGCTGGGTTTTGGCTTTTTTCTTTTTTGATGGATTTGAGGGGAGAAAGGTCTAGCAGGTTTTTTTGTTTTTACTGTGAATCACAGCTGCCATTTCTAGCCAGCTAACAATTTCTGTACATAAAACAGACAATAGATTATCATATTACTTGAGCTTTCATGTCAAAACCACATTAATTTTCTGAATCACGTTCAATTCATCAACCAATATTTGCTCAAGGGCTTTTGCCAGCTACAGTGTTTCATTTTAATATAGTGTCGAGCATTGGTTTTATTCTAGAGGTCAAATAATTATTATCTTGTTATTGTTATGGTTATCATTTTGTAGTTGTTACAAATTATTTTTTTTGTTTATATGCCATGTGCTATTATGGTTTTTTACAGAGATTGCTTATGTGGGCCCTAATCCACCCCTCTAAAAGATGCTTAATGTTAAACACATAAATAGTCATACTTGATGTCAAAGGAACTAACCCCATGCATAAAACTTGCCAGCGTTTTGCTGAGTCAGAACCTCTGTGACCTCTCAAATGAAGACTGACTCAAATTAGCATTTAAATTGGGTGCAATTTGTACTAATGCACTGGAAGTTGTCCTCCAAAGCGGAGATTTCTGCAGCCATTGAAAAGGCAGAGGTGGCTCTTCTGTTTTCACTGCCTGTCCCCTCTTGACTTAGCTTCTAGGACATGGGGACTGCAGGACATGTCTGAGGGTAAAGCTGGCTTTTCTGTCACTGAAATCGAGAGCTTTGTGCTGTGGATGTTTAGCCAAGGTTCTTGAAATGTAGCTGATTCTTACTTGTGTCCCAGGAGCAGCAGTAGCTCAGTGAAGAAGGTGGCAAAGAAAAGAGAAGAGAAGCTGTTCCCTCCTCCATTATCCCCTCTCTTGGATGAGCCTGTGCACCGGCGGCACAGCAGTGACAACAGCTCCTTCAGCCAAGAGACCAACATCACAAACACATCTCAGACCAGCAACTCGTCTTCCTCTGTTTCTAAACACAGAAAGAATGAAAATAAATCCTCTTCTAACCCCAAAGGAATCTGTGTAAGTAACCAACCTCAGTTGCTGGAAGTGAACAAGATAAAATAAAATTAACTTAGCTTTGTTCTGTTTGATTTTTTTCCCCAGTACCTATTTTTAAATGCTTGTGTGGCTCCAGTCAAGAGCAGCGAGGAGTGAATCTTTGCAGAGCTGGGCATAAGCAACTCTTGCAAGTTCGATTTTTAGGTCAGCGTTAGGCATCTGCTTGGCGCCAGGCATCCCTCCCTGAAACAACGAGTCCCTGAGCCTCAGAGGATGGTCTTTGCAGCCACCTGCTAGCTGCAAGTCCCTTAACTCTGTAGCTATAACACACATATTTTGAAAATAAAACTTCAAGAATTTTTGGTATCCTGAATAATTACCCAAGTCCTCAGCCAGAATTAAGCACTGTAGCTATACTGAGTAATGCAGCAAAAACTAAACAGACAGTAATAATTAACCAAAAAGCTTCTTGTCCATAGCATACTCAACATGGAAATATCTTCTCTCAGGTTTGCAGGCTTCCAGCAGTAAGGTTTATTTACACCTAATCACTTTGGATTAACTATGTAAGATTTTAAATACTGTGTAAATAGTTTGAAGGGTTTTTTTGAAAAAAGCCCACTATCATTCTGTTAGGACCGTCTCCCCATCAGTGTTTTCGCCTAGACAGCTCTTGCTTACTTGCTTTACACCAGATTCAGGTGGTTTTTTTACTGAAAATACATGGGAAGAAAAAGCCAAAAGTAGAAACTACACAGCAAATTCAGCTAAAAAAAAGATAAAATTTCACTTCAGTTTGTCATCCTATTTTAGGATAAACAGGGAAACTTCAGGGGTTTGGCCCATGTTAGAAAATAGTCCTCCCTCTGGAGTTTCAAACATATGATTTAGTATCAAACTCTATCTTAGTATCATTGTCAAAATTAAAAGACAAGAAGAAAATTCTGCCACAGAAAGGGACATGCATAGCTCCTGTTTTCACAGTTCGACGCCTTGCGAGAGGTTGTTACCCTGCACTGGAATAGTAAAACTCACAAGTTGCGTTGGATCGCAGGTGACAAATCACCTTATTCATTCATCCCTGTTGCTTTCTGGTATCATTGTGTCACTTCAAGCTGCGAGGGTAATACACATACCTTCAACTGAAATCAATGCCAAAATGAACTGCGTAGGTCAGCAAATAAACAATGCTATGTAAACAGCAGGGCCATTTCCTCTCACTCCCAGCATCGCTAGTCAGATTTATCCTTGCTTTATCTGTTACATCTGATACATGAGATATCTGTCTTCTAAAATATGTTAGATTTCTTCCCCTAGTTCGTCAGTTCATCTGAAATACAGTTGATCTGGTTGTGGACCCAGCTTGCAAGTCGCAATTGCCTGATCTAAATGCTTCTGTTAGGCTCCTGGTTTTAATCAATGCAAAGTCACAACTCCAGACTTCTGGTTTCCATTCTTCTCTTTGTTCTGTGTAGCAAGGATGAGGAAAAAGTTCCTTGGTGAAATCTGAGCAGTTAGCTAATACAGACAAAAAGGTTATATTAGTGTTTACATGAAGCCTTTCTGCATTAGATTCCCGCACCCCTGCTTTAACCAGTGTCACTAGCAAGTACCACTGTCCTGTCCCACCTGACTTCACCTAAGAGTTTAAGTTCATGACTTCAGGTGAGGGGTCAGAAGTAGAGTCATCTTGCCTAATTGATCTAATGGGTTTAAGTTACAAGGGATGGAAGGGTGGTGGTTTTAAGAGTAATTGGATGTCGTTGAGTACGAGTGCTGCTTTATACCTTAGCCTGTTGTTTGTTTGGGTTTGTTTGTTGGGGATATTTTGGGGGGAGGTGGAGGTGGATGTGAGCACTTCCTTGTTGGAAGGTGTTTCTTTGAACTATGAGGAGTTGATAACGGTCCTGTTGTTTCTAGGAGGAAGAATCTCACAATACACCAACAGCCAACACTCTCCTTGACACCAGCCATCTAGAAGCAGACATCTGGTCTGCAATGCCAACACTTTCCAATGGAAACGCTGAGCCCAGAAGACCCAAAATAACATTTGATGATGCGTAAGTATTATTGAATCTCTGTGCTAGCTGCGTGTTATGTAGTTGGGATTTTCATGCAAGCGGAGCTCCCAGTGAAAGGGAGGCTCTTTGATTAGAGCGCTAGCTCTGGGCACCTCTGTGGATAGTGCTGCACAAAGGCACACACAGTTTTAATCTTTACAAATGAACTGTTGTCACTGATTAATGAAAACTCTGTTGATAAATGTTTTCAGATCATGAATGTTGGTTCACAGTAATTCTTCATTTTTTCTATTTTAGCTCCTCTAATGGAAACTTCTTATACTTAATTAGTTTAAAATATTTTTTCTTTTCTTCCGTTCAGCACACATTAATGGGTCCTTTGGGTGGCCAGTTTGTACAGGTAGTTATTTTACATTCTGGTCACCCGTCATATCTTTGCGTACAGCAGCTTCAGATTAATATCACGTTAAGATTTAAAGAGATAACTGAGCGTATATGTCAAAATTGATCTTGCAGGCAGTCAGCAATTTTCTGAAACAATGTTTGTCCAACAATATGAAAACAAAGATTTGTAATAATTGATTTTGTCTCTTTAGGCTTCACAATGCGGATTATTACATGCAAGAGGCTAAGAAGCTGAAGCATAAAGCAGATGCATTGGTAGGTTATCACTGGGGTTTTTTGTCTTTGGAGCTGGGTTTTACAAAAATGTACGTTCTGAATGTCATCTAAAGCCTCAGAAACCAAGAAGAACCCTGCTCTTGGCTAAAGAATGCTTCGGATTGTACTCCATAAACACATTGTCCACAAAAGTCAAACCCTGAGCACCATTCCTAGCATTTAACAATTTGTTTCAAGAAAAAAAAGCAAAAAATCCTTAGGGTAGCTGGTATCTCTTCTGAGGAGGAGAAACAGTCATGCTGTTCATGCAGGATGGAAGATAATTTAATGGAAGATGATGTGTATTTGTTTTTTTGTTCTGATTCACTGAGCCTAAAATAAAAGTGTTGAAATATTCCATAACAGAAAGTTAAGAAAGGCAGATCACCCTCTACCCCATGATCATGTGGTAAAACTGTTTGATATTTCCAGGCCAGTTGTTTAAAATTTAGAACAATTGAGTTTTAAATAGTACATTCATTTTCATTGCATGCTTTTAAGGTGGTAAAAAAAAGACTCAACATGCTTCTTCCCAAAAAATCTTGCAATGAGGTAGGTTCAATGCTGGGAAACCTTTTTCTCTCATTTTACCCCAGATGAAATTCCACTAAAATTGACTTGTTTGTGCAGAGGTTTGATCTTGATAAAACTACTTTTTCTGGCAGATTATACTCTAGCATGGCTTGTTCAATTCAAGCTCTTGCTGGCACTTTAAGAGCCATTTGTTTTGTAGGTAGGGACTTGGTTTCTGTCCACTACATGGAGTACAGAGTACAGAACAGCAGCTCATTAAGGCAGACAGAGTGGAACTTCACTCCTCTATTTGTTTAAACTAAGATGCCTAAGGTGGAGTATGACCATTTGGTTTGCCCTTCAGAATCACAGCTGAAAAAGAACTGGGTGATTATTCACCTTTGCTTGATTATTGGTGGGGTTTTTCCACACATATTATATCCCTCCACACCAGAGAACTTGTGCTCGGGAAGAAGTGTTCGTCAAAACAAAATGAAAAGAAGCAATCGCATGCCATGTTTTTAAAAACCAAAAAAAAATAGGTCTTTTTTTTTAATAAAAAGGCTCTCCCTCTGCTGTCCCTGCGCTGAAGGAGATGTCAAGCTACGTGCTTCAGCTCTCCGGGCTCCCGTTTGACTTGGGGCATGGTGTTAGCAAGTGTGTTTTCTGTGGGAGGTGGGTTCAGGCTTTTGGCAAGCTGCCGTGACTGTCAGCGGGCTGTTAGCAGTCAGCCCTCCCGACCTGCCCGCGTCCAGGAGGTGGCCTGAGCTGATTCCTGCAGCCCCGCTCAGCAGAGCCCGTTCAGCCCGAGCCCTGACATCTGCACAGGGGGAAGGCTGGCAGGAGCAGACTGACAACACCTCCCACAGCTGATTGACCTTTAAAGAAAGCACACACAGTGCTGGCACAAGGATGCCTGCCGCACACTGGCAAATATTTACAGGCTCAGGCTCCCGATGATCTCGACGTGCCATGTCAATCCGCTTCCCTCCACAGCCTGATTCACTCCGAAAGTGGTGACCTGTCTCCCATCCTCTTACCTTTGACTCTGCCTTGCGGAATCAGGGGTGCTTCTCAAGCAGAACTAAGAGGAGCAGGCACAGCACATCGCGCCGCTGCCTGCAGGCAGGCCATGCCTGTCACATACAGTTTGACACCCCGCGTGCTCACGTGGGAATGTGAGGCCATCCGCTGTGATACAACTTGTTGGCAGACATAAATACCCACGAACACAGTATCTGCTTTTTCTTTCCGCTATTTACGTCTCTGCTTTTCTTTCTTTTTTTTTTTAACCCCCACCCTATACAGCTGCACACAAATTATCTCCATGTAACACATTTGCTGTGCGATCCCATAGTGTTAGTTGTCCTATGGAAACAATTGCTTCTGGTTACTTGGTGCTGACATGACAAAGCACACGCAGCATTGAAAGATGTGTTGCAGTGGCTAGAAAGATAATGCATGTGACCTCAAAATGTGTCAGCAAATGTTAATGAGATTTGTGGTAACCCTGTTCCTGAGCTTGTACGGAAAACAGATTTCTGGTGAAGGGCAGGGCGTTTTGTGCGTTATGGGAGCAACCCCAGGAAAACCTGTCTTTGTCTGGCACAGCCGGGAGGAATCAGCTAATTTGGATGGGCTGCTGCAGTGGCAACTGCCTGTACCATATGGAAGAGATCTTGGAGACCTCGCTCTGTTCTCAGCTGAGCGGTGATGAGCTGGAGTAATTCCACCTAGTCCGCTAGAGTCAGTGTGGAGCAAAGGGCAGGATCACATCCCATTTCTGGCTCAAATTGTGCATCTGTACTAAATCTGCTTGCAGCCGGATTCCTCTTTTTTTTTAAATACCACAAAAAGTTATCTTTGGAAGACTTGAAGCAAGGAATTTGAAGAATATGCTGAGAAATGGCCATTGGAATAGAGAGAAAGCATTTAGAAATATTTCCCCTTTGGTGATCATTTGGATAATATCTATCAGTTGTAAAAAGCCTTTGTACATAATCAGTGCACAAGAGCAGAACTTGAAATTAAAGGTAGTTATAAGAATTGCTGAGAAGTAGCCACAAATGTACTGTTACCTTGGACCAGTACTAAATGTTCTGCTTAACATGTTGCTAGGATAGGCTTCCATTTTGTGAATGGAAAACATACGCAGATGCATCAGAAATATTTTGATAGAGACATACAAAGAAATTTTTGAATTGTTTAAAGTATATTGGATCTCTTATATCAAATGCCACGTTAGTAGGATCCTTATATCCAGCTATCAAAAATTGAAAATGTTAAATACTATTATAAAATACTTACTATAAAAATGTCATATAGAATATTCATTAGACATAAAAAAAGAAATCAGTATGTCTAAGTCAGTTTAATCACAACCATTATGAGGGCTAAAACTTTTGCAATAAAATTCTAGTAAAATAAAATATTTAGCAGTGCTATATTTTTTTTTCTGATCTATCAGTTATAACATAAGTGATGAGATTTTTTTTTTGGTCAACAATTAACACAGAATCTTACACCTGACAAATGGGGGGAAGCTGTTACCTAACCTTTGCATAGTGACATTCAAACTTAGTTCGTGTATCGAGGGGCAATATGGATTTGTAGAAACCTGCTTAGTGTCCGTCGTTGCTTGTGTAAATTCATGCATGTCAATGGACATAGATTGATTTTTTTTCTCTGGAGCATCTGGCAATATACTCCCTGAAAAGACGTGGTAAAAACATAGAACCTGCCTTAATTTCTGTATGTATTTATTCTTAACCACCAGCACTGCTATGCTTTCATCCTAATGCTGGTATTGCTTCGTATGACGATCCGCCTACCTAGACATTAAAGCTGAGGGATTTTCTTGATGGTGTCATTCCCATTTCAGCTGGAGAAGTTCGGAAAAGCAGTGAATTATGCTGATGCTGCCCTCTCCTTCATCGAGTGTGGGAACGCTATGGAGCGAGATCCATTAGAAGCTAAATCTCCATACACCATGTACTCAGAGACTGTGGAACTCATCAGGTTAATGTCCTTTCTGTGATCGTTTTCATAATCTCATTTCAGTCATAATTAGAACCTGCTATGTTTTAAAAAATACCATTTCAACGTATTAACGATTTGTCCAAGGCATCTTCATCTCAGAAGTCATCATAATTAGTTCTTGCCATTTTATTAATGTCACGGAAAATTTATAATTGATGGACACTGCTTTTATAAATTATCCCCTTTAGAGGTTATAATGTGAGTGTTATAATTTGCAATATTCATAAAATTAAAATTGAAATGTAGTGGGTGGAAGTAAAGTATAGTAATTTCACTGTTTGGCAATGACACTTGTCTTTTAAAAGGTGTAGTTTTATAATTCAAAACATTAAAGTGAGTCTATCAGGATTTCTATTACAAATCCTGGTTTTAGAGGTTTATAACTTGGCTGTTAAAAAAAAAAAAAAGCTGAAACTTGACACATAAGATCATAGCCAGAGAGGAAGTTTTCTGCATGTATTGTATTAAAAAAGTATATATTTTAATGTTAAAGGCATGTGAATCAGATGGATTAGCTTTAGTACAGTTTTGTAAACTCATAGGCTAGAATATAGATGAGAGAGCCTTTACTTACTAATAAAATGTCTGAATTATTATTTTAAAATCTGCTACTGTTCCCTATAGCAGTTTCACAGTGTTGGCTCTGTAGAAATAATGGTCTCCTGAGTAACTGAGGGCTTGTTTGCTTTACTTGAGCAAATTATCAAAGTGAAATCAAACAGGATTAAATTTACCTGTAAATAGAACAGGATTTTTCTTCTTCGCTGTGATGCACCTTTGCCTTCCCCAGTGTGTGCTGGGAATATCACGATTAAAGTCAGTGTAATTACTGGCAGTTTGCACAAGAGAGAGAAAAAGAGGCAGATCGGGGCCTAATGTTTGGGTTTTAATATGGCAAAGGTGTATTTTTTTAATGTGCAGCATTTTAACATGCCAGAGTAGCTATTAGGGACTGCCAAAAATAATACATGTTTTACATTTTGAATAAGTAGGTATTTACATAATAAATTGTATCAAATCTTAAGAAGCTCTTACTCTCAGGTAAATAATATGCCTGTGAAATACTTAAAGGCGTGTTTTTACATTCTACACTACATAAAGAGAAGAAGAAAATCTAAAGAGATTACTCAACAGGTAAATGATGATCACTCAACGCTTAGGATCCAAGCTAAACCCTGGAGAGCAGAGGACTTAAGAAAAGGAGCTGCCTCCCTCTGCTCCGCTGTGCCGAAACTCGTCCTGCACTCTTGACGGTGGACAGGTTCAGTACTTCATGTCCTGAACTTCACAACTACAGTTTTATGGCAGGATAAAGAAATATTCTTTAAAGAAGTGAATGCTTCTTCAGAGGAGCCTGCATTTATTTACATTTTTTAAGAAACCACACGGCACAGTGGAAAATGTTGCTCCTCAGTCCAGCACTCTGTCTGTTAGAAGCAGATGGAGCAAAAACCTTCATTCATTCAAGAGCCTCAACATATGCACTCAGAGGGTGGCAGCCCTAGAAGTAGATCACAAAGGGGTGATACCTGCAGCTCCCCTCCACCCTGCGGTGCTGGATGGAGTCAGCTGAGTGTTCAGCTCCAGCTTGGAGTAAGTGGCACTCGAGCAAACGCAGCCGCGCTGCCTTGCTCTTTCTGACAGCTCCTCTGTCAGCAAGTTCTGCTGCAGGCTACCTGATGGATAGACCTTGGCATGGAAGCAGCACTTAAACTGCTTTTGGATTGCTTTTTGATCTGCTTTTGGCTACAAAAGAATCTGGAGGGCTTTGTTGTAGTAGATTCCCAATTTCTAGATAGCTAAAGTCAGGTGAGATTAATTCCACCACCTACGATCGAAGGTAGAGCTTAGCTTACCAGCTCACGTCTGCAGCATCTTGTAGGCAGCCAGTGAGAGACTCATTTGCCCATTTAATTGTTGTCAGTGGTCAGACATGGAAAAAAGATGATTTCCCAGGTGAATAGCAGGCTGAGGCAGGTTCAACAAACTCCATGGAAAAATACACAATCTTTGGGGGCTACAGTGGGTGCTGAATGTACAAACCAAGTATGCAGCAGTGCATACAATTTCTCAACGTGGCTTCTAAAATTAACAAAGATTTTAATGGTGAGATAAGAAATAGGAGATTTTTCTCACTTTTACTCCTCCCTTCATCAGAGGCACGTTTTCCCCTTTTGCATTAGCTGTGTCTGCTCTGAGTGTCAGCATCAGACACCTATTTGTGAAAGCAAGTGGAGCATCCAAGAGACTGGTAATATCAGAGATCTGACTGTCAGAGGTGGTTTAGGTTAATGATAATGCTAAAATCCCTAATGTTTCAGGGATAACCCCAGAGAAACATACCTCTGGGGTTGATCAGATTCGTTCAGTATGATGGAAACAACAATACCTGAGACCAGGTGAGACGGCATGGAGGAAGCACATCAGGTGGTTTGCTAGGGCTGCAAGGTGGGGGCTGATGATGGGGGTGGTGGGAGGAAGGCAGATAGAGAGCAGCACTGCCTGCCTGCACTCCATTACCTCCTTGTAAATGAGAACTCATCAAGGCTGCCTGGGTACCTTAAAACTTCCTTACGCAACGCTGAACCCTATTACTTATTCTAACACAAGTACCTGTGAAATTGCATTAGGGCTCAGAACAATGATTTTATGCGATGAATTGATTTTCGAGAGACTAAATGCATGGAATAGAGTGTTCTCAGTTAAAGAAAAAAAAGAGAGAGGGGAGGTAGGAATACTCAATCTTTGATCATCCAAATGCTGGACAGCAGCAATTAAATAGAGAAGGAAGACTGAGTACACAAGATTCATAAATTAATGGACCCAAGAATTAGAAAAGCTGTGAACATGACCTTTCCTGCATTTAAAAATGTTTCCTATATAAAATATATTAAAAGCTTTGATGAAGCATTTATGAGAAGGATTTTGAAGGTATTATTGAAGCCCAAATTATTATATGTAAAACCTTGTTATATATTATTCTACTTTTCAGTACATACAAGGCCATGATCTTATGCTTCTGTCTAACACTTACCACAAATGTTTGCAGGACTTAGCCTAGATGGCTGGATATAATATCATTAATATGCCCAAGAATAGTTCACCTTGTTGGCCCAGAAGGTGGGTTGGTGATTTACTTTAGCCCTCCAGGTTTTAAGTGGTGCTTTCTGTTGAATTTTACATTTATCTCATAGTTGCAGAACAATGTGACCATTAACTAGTGCAGTCAGAGAATATCTATGTGTGGCTGTTATTTTTTAGACCATTGCTAGTATTCCTGAAAACATCTTAACTCTCAATTTCTTCTCTCCTCACCTTTCTGACAAGGTATGCAATGAGACTCAAGAATTTCACAGGCTCTTCTGCCACAGAAGGGGACAAGAAATTAGCAGTTTTATGGTAAGTCCGATTGCGACAATGAGAGAAGCAGCTAAAATCTTAAGGAGGACTTTAAAAGTACCGAATTACTTAAGCAGCTTACAGAAGATCATTATTCTTGTTTTCCATTAAACTATTAAAGGATAACTAATGGATTTCTTCAGCAGCTGACTAAACATTTATTCTTCTAATTTATACTCTTATCAAGATGAGATTTTAATGCTTTTGACCACTTTTTTTTTCCTTCTCCATTTGCTTATGTTTCAAAATCTAACCTTAGAACAGAAACTGCAAAATATAGGTCAGCTTTTTTTTTTTTTTTACAGTTTATAGGTTTCATTAAGCAATGGAATTAACATAATCCTTTCCTAATTACCACAGCTACCGATGCTTATCGCTTCTCTACTTGAGAATGTTTAAACTAAAGAAGGACCATGCTATGAAGTACTCCAGATCTCTGATGGAATATTTTAAGGTAATCTTTATTCTGTTTAATTTATTGATAGGAAATGGAATTCATAGCAGCACTGAGAGCTCTCACAAGTATAACTGCATGACTTAAAAGTCCCACATTTAACCTCTCCCCTGGGAAATGCAGGCAGGATGGCTGCCAGGGAGTGGGGACAGAAGTGATATGGGGGATTTCTGGATTAGTCTCTTGATTCAAAGGACCTTATTCAGTAATTCTACTAAAATAATATTATTCTCAACACCGTGTAATGTTTATGCAAGTTTCTGTAAAGGAAACGGATTCTTTCAAGATTTCAATGTGCAAGTGATTATGAACTGACCCCAATGAACTATAACAAAGCAATTATTTAGGTGTTAGTTACATTTAGATTTTATATTCGATGAGATTTGCTGAAGCTTATTGCAGACTCAGAGATTTCCCCTTTTATTTCTGTGGAACTTGTAATTGCCTTATCTACATCTTGGAAGTTTGCCTTTCCTTGAGTTGCGTGGAGACCAGCTGATTGTCATGATTCGGTGATGTTTTCCTTTACCTTGTCAAATGATGTTTACCCATCGTAAGAATGACAAGTCCTCACCATTCCTCAATTAAGAGAGAAACAGAATCTCTTTTCAGCTCTGCCAAGGTTTTGATATTTATATTTTACTAGCTAATGCCGTTCGAGGCATACATTAATTCATGTACTTTATTACCGTGTATTATTCTGTAATTATGTAATTATAGTGGTTTGTCAGCCCATCAGTCTTTTTTTGTTGGTTTTTTCAGCCTCTGTGAATTTGTTCCAGGCTTAGACGCATTAGTACTGCAAACCAGTAAAACTTCTAACAGTACAGTTTTAATATTTTCATGTAAATGGTGATAAAATTGTCCTTCTGCTGTAAAACTCCAGTACTGTCATGCTAGCAAGCATCGCTTAGTCCTGGCTTTCCTGGTGTCCGCTGTGTCTGTATCTCTGTAACAGTAATGTTTGTCCTGATCTTCTGCTTAAATTGAGGCTCTTGTGAAGTCATTAGGAGTGCCTCCGTTGTGCTCACAGAGTTTTCAGTCAGGGATTTGCACAACAAATTCAGTTTGAACTAGACACATTTATAGCCTCAGCATTTTCATGAAATGTGTTCCATGCACTTCAGATTTTATCTGGGATGAATATAGATTGTCTCTTAAAAAAAGGTTGTTAGACAAATAATTTGATGTATTTTTTTTTCTGCAGCAAGTAATGATTTATTTAAAAAAAATAAAAATAAGGGGGTGAGGGAGATTCTCTCTTCCTCTAAAGCCACTTTACTTTCTCTGGCTGTGCAAATAAGTACAATGAAGAGCGTAGTACTACTCTCGGCATAAGATCATTTTATCTGCACAGAGGAAACGTCTTTTAATGTAAATGAAAATAAGAGAAAAAAATTAAAATGTAATAAAATAGTCAAATCAGGAGTGCTGGTTTTAGGCATTCAGATGAAGCTGAGTATTTCAGCTAATGTTACTGGGTGTATGCTATGGGCACTGTAACTCATTTGCTAGAAGTGATGGCTGAATGTATACACATTATATGTTCAGGATCTTTTTGTAGGAAAGTCATAGGAGGAGAAAAGAAAATGAGAGTTATTAACTACGTATTAGTTTTGTCTTGCTACACAATGTTCTTTCTCTGTGTTCACTAGTGAGAAACCAGTATAAATGAAATGTTAACTATTTGAATAGAGCTGTTATTCAAAATTTTGCACAATTCTAACTGTAAAAAGCAGCCCACTGTTTGCAGCAGAGATGGGGAGGAATTTTTTGGCAGATATATTTTTCACATTTTTCCTCACAAATGCCATTTTATCCAAATTGAAACCATTTGTGGTCAGAACTGGTCCTGATTAATTTCCAATTAAAAGTTTCAAATTGATATTTTTGACATTTCAGAACAGAAAATAGCCATTTAGTCATAAAAGTGGTTTTGAAATTTAGAGACAACTTGGAGTAAAATATAACTAAAAAAATAAATTTTTTAAATGAATTGAAACTTTTTAAGAGTAGTAGAAGTGGCATCCTTTGGTGCATTTCCACTAAAAGTTTGAGGAAGATTTTTAAGTTTTTGAAAATACGTCGTTAATAGTCATTGGCAAAAGTATTTCTTTAATGAAACACAGTGACGTGCTGCAAAAACATACAGACAAGGCTGCTATCACGGTTTGGGCAGGGTTTTCTGCTTTAATCAATACTGTTTGGCAAGTTCAGCTGGGTTTTAGAAGTCAAGAGTGGGATTTTGCTCGCGGAGTCAGCAGCGTGACCTTGGGCCATACCCTGGGCTGCTCTGTGGAATCTCTGTCTCTCACATACAAAAGAGTGATTACAGTAACCAGACGAATCTTGTAATAATGACAGCAATACTTTACAGAGGACTTGTAAAATTTGATTGAATTTTCACTGTGCGTGCTGACTTCTTTGCAAGGGAGCTCAGGGTGATTGTTTTCAGAAAGCACACATAGATAGCTTCAGCCCTTGATACTACCACTTTTTTAAATGGGAACTAAGTAAGATACCACCCAGTTTGAGCAAGACTGGAAAAATCCGGGCTTTATTGTTGCTGGACAATCTTTTTGTACAGGGTTGTACAAGGTGCTACACAGACGTGAAAGGCAGAATGAGTAAGCAGGTAAGGAAAGTCAATTTGTGCAAATAAAATACTTTTTTTAAAAAAAAAAAGGGCATTCAAGCAGATGCTTACTAGAAGTTTTATTTCTATTGCTATCTGAATCCCAAGCCACCTTCCTTAGCAACTTGGGAGCAATTAATTTAATTAAGGCATCAAACCAAATTCCTTTTGTTTCGTATTAAAAGATTGCAGGTCCCTCTAAAGATAAGAAGTCATTTCCACTCTGAAAAACTTACTTTGTAGAATAAGTTTCAGTGGCAAGTAAACCGCTTCTTTGTGAACTACACCTGCTTTCACTAGAGCTCTACTGTATTCCCTCTTTCATCAAGTGACTTTCAAGCTGGCTGGAACCTACCAATCATCCACCAGCCATTTAATTTTGGGACTGATACGCAGAGCTGTTCTGCTACATGCACTGTAGCTCTTGCAACGAGAACAGGGAGCATTGAGCCTTGTGTCATCAGTATTCATGTACTTGCATCACCTTTATTTACATTTTGGTTTTGTACTTACAGAACTCTTCAAAAGCCTCACAGGCCCCCTCACCTTGGGGCGGCAATGGAAAGTGAGTATTTTCTACTTCTGTCTGGGGACAGGTGGTTCCAGGGCAGGGGCAAGTGTTTTGGTGCCTCTAAAGGCAAAGGACAGGCCATGCCTCAGTGGTTTGGACCTACAGATACGTTTCAAATATGTAGCAGGTAGAAAATATTCTTCTGCGCTACAGAATTGATCTTAGAGCTCACTCGGGCTTGTGGGGGTGAGGGCTTCCCAGTGGGCTAAATCAAGTACCCATGTGAGCCTGAGTGTGGGTGAGAAGGAAGAGATGAAACACAGCTTCATCTTTGTGCAAAGCCCCCTTAAATCTAAAATCAGCCGTGGTGGGTCTGTGCTGAGTTCTTTGACAGTTTGCTTCTCAAGCCAAATGAAGGCCATAAAAATATCTGTTAATTAGCTAGCAAGTACCATGTCATTTCAGGAAGCCAAAGTAAAGTTAACCTTCATTGCAATGATTTTTCAATGATTCGTTCAGTAATGAAAGACCAATGAATATTTCATTGATATATGGTAAGTGCTGTTTAATAAAACTGAAGGTGTAATAGTGGTGAAAATGTGAAGGCACTTAGTCAACCAATTATCAGTGGCTTTAAAACCCTCTCACCTCAGATATGAAGTCAGGGTAATGCAGTTATGATCAGCTGTTCAGAGAAGGTGCATTGCTGCGGCAACCTTGCCTTTACCTTGCCTTTACCTTACACGCATCTCTCCTGCTCCTTTCTCCTGGCCACACATGCAGATACAGGCGAAACAAAGGAGAAGGACTTTACCTTTCTTCTTTATTTGAGTAGGCTGAATTCTAGATGGAGATGGTTATTGTTAATGGTCTCTTTCTGGTGGTTCATAAGAAGAAATGACTATTAGACACTTTGAGGAAGCAAAGTAACAAAATTGTAGAAGGGGTTGAAGTTTAGCACACAAAGAAATGAGGTTTTCAAACAGACTTTGTTCTGAATCAGTGCAAACGCAAAAATTCCAACATTTTGCTTGAAGGAAAATATTTTCTTAGATAATTCAAAATATTTTGTGGTATATATATATATATGCATACACACATCATATACACAATGTATAGATAATTAAGTATAGATTATAATACAAACTAAAGTGATGAAATGCAAAGTCACATTAATTAAAACCAAAAAGGTACTTTAACATTGGAAAAGCAATTACTAAATTAAATTATTCAATATGTGCCAGTTTTTCAAGGCATTTAAAAGTCAGTGAAACCTTGTATTGCAATAGAAGTACAGTAAGGTTTACCAGAAGTTTTAGTGCCAAAATAGACTGCTGGAGCATTACACCTCTGGTTCCTTAAGAAGTGGCTTATACCTAAAAACTTTGTGGAGCAGATGTTATCCCTTTATTCCTGTCCTATAATAGACCCCTATGAAGTGTGAGCTCTGCAGGTGATGGCATCTCCCTTGCTTATTAAAGGAGCTGATTAGGTGCCAAGAATTTAGAATCAGTGGGTTTTGACTGGAGAAGAAAATTCTTGTCCGACAACAAGGTAGGCAGCAGAAACCCAGCGTTCAGGTCAGCATCACATATAACACCCAGCTGATCGGTCTCTTCCCACTAACTTTGGAGATAAGGAAGAAAAGATCTGAAAGCGCACATCTCTGTCTTTTATTCAGAGAATCATAGAATGCGTTAGGTTGGAAAGGACCTTCAAAGGTCATGCAGTCCAACCCCCCTGCAGTGAGCAGGGACATCTTTGACTCGATCAGGTTGCTCAGAGCCCCATCAAGCCTGACCTTGAATGTCTCCAGGGATGAAGCCTCCACCACCTCTCTGGGCAGCCTGTGCCAGGGTTTCACCTCCCTCGTAGTCTAATTTAAATCTACCCTGCTCTAGTTTAAAAGGAAGTACTTGGCATATAAGAATAACTGAATATGACAAAGCCTTGTTATAATGCTGTTATTATGACACCTGTGACCCAGCACACAAAGACCACAGTCCGTGCTCGGGTCTTCTGTCCCCTCTTGTCTGGGGCCTCGGAAGAAAAGCTCTGCAGCTGGCTCAGAGTTGCTGTATATCTCAGGTGTCTCCTGGTGGCCCCAAAGATTATCACGGGCCTGGTGCTGCCACTGCCAGCATGTGCTTGCCATTCCCCAAGGCTGTTCTCTCTACAGCTTCCTCTTATTCCCCTTCAAATTTGTACCAGATGGGAAGAGAAGTCACTCACCACTGAGGAGAGACCAAACACCACCAGGATATGGCACCACTGGAGACAGATCAGCAGCCTCATTCAGAATGGGGAAGACAGCAGGATATTCTTAAATCTTTTTCTGAACAAAGCAACACATATCTATTGCCTTGAAGTGTAATCTGCTCGGGACCTCAAACTGTCAAAAATCTCTACTTGGTTTACTGGAATTTCTGGCCACTTTTGTTTGAAAGGGTTGTGAACCTTTACGAAGTTGGCCTGAGTTCCAGGCTGGCAATGAAACAAATTTTCCCTGGTTTCATTACAGAAATGTTTCCCACCTCTAGCAACAGAAAGCACAAAACAGAGAGATTTAATAGACTCACCACAGTAATAATGGCTGTGCACAACAGGGTAAATCCAATGAACAATGTGCTTTATTTGGCAGAAGTGCGTCAGCTTGTTGTAAGTGGCTCTAACAAAATACTCCCGGTCTCCTCAGATACTTATGATTTTTAGCTGCTCCCAGACCTCGTCTAGTATAGCTCAGCTCTTCTGTGCATTAAAGACACTGTGATGTGTCAAGTAGCCAGGATGTTTTGAGACTTAAAAATCAATGTTTGTGCCGTAGGATATGCTTAAACTATAACACGTAAGCTGTGTAAAAAACTACTAGCTGCTGAATTAATGTGGTCTCTTGTTCTGGGAAAAGAACATCTTATAGGAGCCTGTTGTCGAGCACAGGTAATAGCAGGGCACTGCTGGAAAATCTGCAGCAAATCTGTTGCCGTAAATGCCTTTCAGCCTAGGCTGTGCCGTCATGGCAATCTGTCCTACAGCACCTGCAGGGTGTCAGAACAGTGGGTCTGTGCCCACGTTTTGTGTTCAGGACTATTGAAAGTGGCTTTTAAAACCAAGAGGAGGAGCCTTTCTGTCCTGGGGTTTGGATCCAGCCCATAACGAGTCTGAGTGAGCTTGATGCCATAAGACATCAGTGGCCGCCGGTCAAGAGCAGGGTTGAAACATCCCTGTCTGGAGAGTTTTGGTGTCTTTGCTTCATGCAGAGAGCGCCAGGAGGATCTCAACCCTCTGCTTCAGGTGTATTCCACACCAAATCAAATGTGTTTGTTCAGGTGAGTGGTTCCAAATGAGGCCAAAGGAAGAGATTTTTTTGAACCCTTCATCTTGTTTACTGAAACAAATTTATCATGGAAACACGGTGGGATGACTCCCACAACCGAAGTGCTGCACTGGATGGCTGTAAACTCTTCAGAAGGGGCAGGCAAGGAGGGAGAGACACTGAGGCAGCCCTGTGTGTTGGGGAGTGTTTTGATTGTTTGGAGCTTAATGATGGTGATGACAGGGACAGGTGTTTATGGGTATGTAGAACGAGGAGGAAGGCCAACAAGGCAGATATCATGGTGCGAGTCTGTTACAGATCACCCAGCCAGGATGAAGAGCCAGACAAAATATTCTGTAGGGAGCTGGGAGAAATCTGACAACTGCTAGTCTTTCTTCTCATAAGGGATTTCAACATACTAGAAATCTACTGGAAATACAATACAGCAGAGAGGAAACAGTCCAAGAGGTTCCTGGAGTGTGTGGAAGAGAACTTCATGAAACAGCTGGTGAGGGAGCCACCTAGGGAAGGTGCTCCAGTGGGCCTGTTGTTCATGAACAGAGAAGAACCTATGGGTGATGTGATGGTTGCAGGCCATCTTGGGCAGAGTGATCCCAAAATGATAGAGTTTTCGATTGTCAGAGAAGGAGAGGGTCAGCATAACTGCTACCTTGAACTTTCAGAGGGCAGACTTAGGTCTGCTTAGGGGCCTGGTTGACAATGGTTAGTGACCTGCTGCACCTCTTGGATACACACAAGTGTATGGGGCCGGTTGGCTTGGACAGGTGTACTCGTCACTGGGTGAAACATTGGCTGGATGGCCAGGCCCAAAGAGTGATGGTGAATAGAGCTAAATCTAGTTGTGGCTGGTCACAAGTAGGATTCCCCAGGGCTCGGTACTGGGGCCAGGTCTCTTTAAGGTCTTTATCTGGATGATGGGATCAAGTGCACCCTCACTAACTTCACAGATGACACGAAGCTGGGCAAGAGTGTTGATCTGCTGGAGGGTAGGAAGGCTCTAGAGAGGGACCTGGACAGGCTGGATCCATGGGCCAAGGCAAATTATATGAGGTTCAACAAGGCCAAGTACTAGGTCCTGCACTTTGGTCAGAACAACACCATGCAATGCTACAGTCTGGGGAACAGCGGCTGGAAAGCTGCCCCGCAGAAAAGGACCTGGAGCTGTTGGTTGACAGCCAGCTGAAGGTGAGCCAGCAGTGTGCCCAGGTGGCCAAGAAGGCAAACAGCATCCTGGCCTGTGTCAGGAACAGTGTGGCCAGCAGGACCAGGGCAGGGATTGTCCCTGTGCTTGGCACTGGTGAGGGTTGGCATCCTGGCCTGAATCAGGAGTCGTGTGGCCGGCAGGACTAGGGCAGTGATTGTCCCCCTGTGCTTGGCACTGGTGAGGCTGCAGCTTCAGTACTGTGTCCAGTTTTGGGCCCCTCACTACAAGAAGGATATTGAGGATATTGAGTGGATTCAGAAAAGGGCAGCAAAACTGGTGAAGGGTCTGGAGAGCAAGTCTTACAAGAAGTGGCTGAGGGAACTGGGGTTGTTTAGCCTGGAGAAAAGGAGTCTGAGGGGAGACCTTATTGCTCTCTACAACTACCTGAAAGGAAGTTGTGGTGAGGTGGGGGGTTGGTCTCTTTTCCCAAGTAACAAGCAATAGGAAAGAGGAAATGGCCACAAGTTGTGCCAGGGCAGGTTTAAGATTGGATATTGGGAAAAATTTCTTCACCAAAAGG